GCAGTGAACGTGCTTTATATCTTTATTTATTGACTCAGTTTTGTGAATTCAACGCATTCACAACTTGCGTAATTTCCTATACCTGTGAGTTTGAAACTACAGGCTAATAATTTATTAAATTTAATTGTAATAAATGATAATCAGCACATAACATTTTTTATGAGCAAATTTTGAGTTTTTAAGGTTAGCCCGTATCGGCTGAAAATTTGATGGGACTCTGAAAAAAGATCGATACGACTTTTAAAATATATATGGCCCATATTTTACCTAATATGACCCTGTACAATACTTATCCATAATGTGAAGATATGACTGAAAACTTGAAAATAGATCTTTTCTGGTCATATCACTTTCTAATTTGGTGACTTTTATTAATATTATATTACATTTAAAAGCAATATAAAATGGTTTCTATATCATTTGGCATAAAACAAATTTGGAATAAGTATAACATTTTTTTTATAATTATGTATAGCTATAAGCAAAAAGTCTCGCGACATGTTTATGGAACTTGCTGCAAATGTTGAAAACACAAAACGGATGCCTGATAATATACAGTCAAACTCAAATGATTTAAAACGTTCATTGAGTAAAGTCGATAAAAATACTAAAGAGGTATGTATAATATAAGACAAGGATACCAAATTTGTGTAAACCATATGATTTTAGGATTCAACTTCAATTATAAAATGTGATGAAAAATTGGAAGAAGTTAAAATTAAAACATCTGACCTTAGTGAAAAATTCAAATTTTTTGAAACATATCAACCAGAAGTCCTCGAGAAGAAAATGTTTCGAATAACGCCTCCAAGGGAAGATTTAAAATCTCCCTCGCAGGATTCATGCAATAAGGAAAATATAAATGAATTAGATTCAAATCCAAATGAAATATCGCGTACTACTAGCATGATGATAAATAGATTCCGAGAAATGGAAAAAACCAAAACGAAGGACACTTCTTACTGCCCAAAACCTTTAAAATGCTTTACACCGCCACGAGATTGTGAAATGAATACGACTCAAAATCCAGAATATGAAGACGATAGTGACGATGACGAAATAAACGAACAGGATGACAATTATGAAGAACATCCCCATTTTAGACATATGGAGGATGAAGACTTGAAAAAGGTAATATTAATATTTCAAAAAGTTCTTGTGTTATAAATTAGTTTCATGTGATGTAGAAATTTTTTCACAACAGTTATATTTTAGCTTAAAACTTGAAATTAATCAAAACTACGAAAT